TCTGGCTTTTGCTCAGGCTGGTCTTGAACTCCTGACCTCAAGCAATCCCCCTGCCTCAGACTTCCCAAGTGCTAGGATTACAGGCATGAGCCACTGAGCCTGGCCTTAGAAATGTATTTTAATAAATGATAATGATTGTAAACGGCATTATATCATATACGTTACAAACTAAAGATTATAATAATTAACATATGCTGTATGAAAAAAGAACACCTATGTTATTCTTTTTTTTTTTTCCCCCAGAAACAGGGTCTTTCTCTGTAGCCCAGGATGGAGTGCAGTGGTGTGATCACAGCTCACTGTAACCTTGAAATCCTGGGCTCAAGAAATCCTCCCACCTCAAGCTCCCAAGTAGCTGAGACTATAGCCACATGCCACAAGGCCCAGCTAATTTTTAAGTTTTTTGTAGATATGAGGTCTTGAATGTTGTCCAGGTTGGTCTTGAACTCCTGGCCTTAAGTGAGCCTGTTGTCTTGGCCTCCCAAAGCACTGGGATTATAGGCATGAGCCACCATACCTGGCCTGCCTATGTTATTCTTGAGCATGTGCTTATTTCATCATAATTTGTTTGATGTACTAAGTTCTACTGTACAAAAAGACTTAAGCCATAGTCTGTGCTTCAAGAAGTTAATATTGGCTGGGCATGGTGGCTCACATCTGTAATCCTAGCACTCTGGGAGGCCGAGGCGGGAGGATCGCTCAAGGTCAGGAGTTCAAGACCAGCCTGAGCAAAAGGGAGACGCCCGTCTCACTAAAAATAGAAAGAAATTGGCTGGACAACTAAAAATATATATAAAAAAGAAAATTAGCAGGGTATGGTGGCACATGCCTGTAGTCCCAGCTACTCAGGAGGCTGAGGCAGTAGGATTGCCTGAGCCCAGGAGTTCGAGGTTGCTGTGAGCTAGGCTGACGCCACGGCATTCTAGCCCGGGCAACAGAGCAAGACTCTGTCTCAAAAAAAAAAGAAGTTAATATTTTAGTATGGGGACTCTTATGGTTAATGTTAGGTTAAGGAAGGGATTCTTTAGGTTAAGGGACTGTATTAAGGAATCCCTAGAGAACTGGTAAAGCATTACTTATGGGTGTGTCTGTGAAGGTGTGTCCAAAAGAGATTGGCATGTGAGTCAGTGGACTGAGTGGGGCAGACCCACTCTCAGTATAAGCAGAGCACTATCCAGTCAACTGGTGACCTGAAAAGACCAAAAAAGGAGAGAAAAAAAATTCCTCTCTCTCCTGAAGCTGGACACTTTCCTCCTCCAGCCCTTGGACATCAGAACTCCAGGCTTTAAGGCCTTGAGACGGATAATTACACCAATGGCTTCCCTGGTTCTGAAGCTTTCAGATTTGAACGGAGCATCCCAGCACTTTATTAAAGTCCCCCTTCCCCCCCCATGAGCTTGCTGAGTTTTCTTCGTTCCCCCAGAAAAGACCTGGTTCAAACAATAGAGGTTTTAGCAGTGTGAATCTAGTATTCAACTATGAGGGCTATAAGCACCACCACCACGAGCAAAAACGTTTAGTACTTACTATAGTTTACAAGTGCTGTTTTATTTTACATAAAACCACAATGATTTAAAAGATGGCCTCTTTTAAAAAACAACAACAACAACCCTTTTTTTTTTCTTGTCACAGCACTTTATTTATGTGAGACAGGTTCTCCCTCTGCTGCCCAGACTAGAGTGCAGTGGAGTGATCACAGCTCGCAGCAGCCTCCAACTCCCAGGCTCAAGTGATCCTCCTGCCTCACCCTCCGGAGTAGTTGGGATTATAGGCGAGAGCCAGCACGCCCAGCTGAAATTGGCATCGTGTTGGAACATGTTGAGAAAGGTGGGCAAAAAAAAAAAAAAGCTGACCCCTCATGTCTCAGGATATTGTTTTTTCTCCCCCAAACTGTAGTTTTTATTTGCAGCGTCTTCTCAGCAGAATTGCCAATGACCCTCCTTGCTTGATGTGGTGGACTCAGGACAGATGGCGCTCGGATACAAATGTAAACAGACAAGGAAGCGGGAAGAAGCAGGAGGCAGCACAGGTGGGCGGGATCTTCACTGGAGGCGGTGCGACCGCGCGGGGCGGTGCAGGCTGGCGGAACCCGCGTGAGCAAGGTCGGTGTTGCGAAGGGAACTAGTCCGGCGCAGGACGTGGGGGTTTTTATAGCCCAGCTGGTTCCGGCTAGGGAAGATGGCGGTGGCTGGGGCGGCGTCCGGGGAGCCGCTGGTGCGCTGGTGCACCCAGCAGTTGCGGAAAACTTTCAGTCTGGATGTCAGCGAGGAAATCATACAGTGAGACTGGCTGGGGTCCGGAGCGGGAAGGAGCTTGGGGATGTGCACTGGCTGAGCGAACGGGGAAGCGGCCAGTACTGAAAAGTTGAGAGAAGAAATGTGATAAAAGGGCTGCAGTCGATCTGTAGGCGCCGAATTTTCGCCTCCACCTTTATAATTTAGCTTCTGGAATAGGATGTCAGGCTCTACAACCTGCCCGTGGGGCCTTTTTTCCTACGAAAACGCCAAAACCGTATTAATTAAACCTGTAAAACTGTTCCGGGAGCCAGTTTCCTTATAGATTCTGGAGAAAAGGGGCAAGTCAAATTGTCTTTCTAGAAATTCTTACTCAGAACGTTTTAGTTGGCCCAGTCTGAGTTGTGTCAGACAGGACCTGAAATTTAAATGAGGACAGCGTGATACAGTGCAAATATTAAGAGCTGCTGACTCGGGAGTCGCAGGTTGTGTTTTCTATTACCATTTACCAATTTTGGAACCTTGGACAACTTAATTTTACTGTATATTGGTGTCTTCATCCATAAAGTGAATAATTAGCAGAGCTTATCATTAATGTTTTATGATTCTTATGAAATGAACATGATTTAATATCTGCTTTAAATTGATTAATGAACATTTGTTGCGCTACTACCACATGCCAGGTACTGGGGCAACAAAGACTATTTGAGTTGTGCTTCATTGATGAGTGCCGAGGTGGGGGAAATAGAGGAGATTGTGGTAGGGTGGAATAAAGGATCCTCATTAAGATTTGAGAAACTGGGACGGTCTACCGGAAGGGTTGACTTTCACCTGAGAACTAAAGGATAGACAGAAGTGTAAATGCACAGTCTTCAGGCAGAGGAGAAAGCTGCAAAAGTGGGACTTGATCAAGGAACCTTAATTTGATTCCTTGCTCACTGATACTGAAACCGAAATTGTGATTCTAGGACTTTTGTAGGAAGTAAGGTGAGTTTTTGAGTTTGGGGGAAGATAGACTTGTTGGCAAGGAGAGAGTTAAGACAGCTATTTTAAAGGATTTTTTTTTGAACATTTACTACATATATATACACATTCCCTTTATAGCAATTAAGGGGATAGCATCTGGAATAGACTACCAAAAAAAAACCAGCCAAATCATGTGGATTGGTTTTACCTTTCTTTGAGGGCAAAATCAAGCTAAGTAGTTTTCAAACATTTTATAAAGCAGTGGAATGCTAGCAAATGAAATAAGTAGACTTTGAAAATATATAAAACAGAAAAATGTGGGTTTTACTAACATAAATATAGCTTCAGATTTACCACGTATTCGTTATAAAGTCACTCAGTATAAAAAAATTGAGGCTATTTTTGATAAATCAACAACTTGAAATGGAGTAGGAATGACAGATGCAGTCTTTCTCAGAATCCAGTTGTATTTTGTTTGATTACACAGTATCAAGAAAATTCCGATTCCCATAGATAGTAGTTTAACAGGTCATTTTGCAGACTCAGGTTTTCCTCAGTTAAACTTACCAACTCGTGAAAGTGAAGCGATAAGAAATTTCTGTTTTAAAGTTGAAGCACTAAGTATGGCTAAATACTTGCTTGCATTTTTTATCATAAATATAAGTTAAATAAGAAGTGTTCAGTACTTTACGGAAGCTACCTCATATAATACTATTTGAACCACTTATTACGCATTCATACATTATTGCACAATAGGTTATTATGCTATGATGAAAGCATTTGCTGTGCCTTGCCTGACATTTCATTGAGAATTACCCAAGTGTACTACAATCGTGTACCAACTTGAACAATTTTATTAGTGGCCTGAATTTAAAAAATAGCACAGAGCTTTTAACTTTCTAATCAATGACACATTTATAAGACATGGAGATCTATACAGAGTTAGCAAAATTTTATTCCACAATCTTCATGTTCATGTTTTGGTTGACTCTGTTTTGATAAGATTTGTTATATATCACATTTGGATGAATGTTGTTTTTTATACTTTGTTAAATAGTTAAAATAACATTTATTTAAATAGTTTTAGAACTCTCTTTAATTCCCTGATGGTTTGAAAACTCCAGGGTTAAACAATGCCTCGAGATTCCTTACAGATCTATGAGTCTTTGATAGCAATTAATCTTTAGTGGGGGCTGGTAAGTTTGGGGATTAAAGTGATTAAAATGTATAAGTCCTGAAAAACCGTGTCTTCCCTCCCCCCGCCCCCGTCTGTGGTGATTAGAAGATGCTCTTAATAAGGCCCAAAGGCACAGGTTTGTTCACCTATAGATCATAACTCTGCAATTTCACCACTACACTAGGAAAAGAATCCAGTACATAGGCCACCAATCATATGGTAATTTCATGATTTTTTTAAATTTAAAGGATATGGCATGATTAAAATTTTTCTTGCATCCCATACTAGTGTGTCTGAATTATAATTCAGATCTTACAAAGCTTTGAGAGTCTTGTATCTTAATTTATAAGTAATCTTTTTCTTTTATGCTATGGCAATTGACATAAGTGATTTTGATCAGTTTCTTCTTGTGTAATGATAAGACATTCACTGTAGAAAACTACAGAACTCAGAAAATGACAGGCCAGGCGTAGTGGCTCACGCCCGTAGTCCTAGCACTCTGGGAGGCCAAGGCAGGAGGATTGCTTGAGCTCAGGAATCCGAGACCAGCCTGAGCAATACTGAGACCCTGTCTCTACTAAAAACAGAAAAAGTTAGCTGGGCGTAGTGGTGTGCGCCTGTCATCCCACCTACTGGAGAGGCTGAGGCAGGAGGATCACTTGAGCCCAGGAGTTTGAGGTTGCTGTGAACTGGGCTGACGCCATGGCACTCTAGCACAGGCAACAGAGCAAGGCTCTGTCTCAAAAAAAAAAAAAAAAAAGAAAAAGAAAATGATAAATGAGGAAACCAAAATTACCATACCACAAAACAGAAATAACCACTGTTTCTCTTAATGTTTTTTTCATATGCATATTTTAATGTAATAAATTTTCAAAACATATTCATTGCAGGGAAAAAAGAAAATGAAAACTGCCCTTAATCCTGCCAGTCAGTAGTAATCATTTTGGTGTATAACCTAGCCTTTTTTCTACATATACACATTCCCTTTATAGCAATTAGGATCATATATAGTTTATTCTACTATTTTCCTTACCATTTTATAATGGGAACATTTTCTCAGGTCAATGATAATTATTCAAAAATTTCAGTTTTAGTGGTGGCATTGTATTACAGTTTGTAAAACCCAAAAACTCCATTTACCCTTTCCCCTATATATGGATGTTTTAAATAATTTATAGTTTTTCACTAATTCAAATAATGATGAAGTTAACTTCTTTTGCATACATTTTTCTATGTCTCTTACTTCACAGAGTCCTATAAATAGAATTACTGAATCATTTTTAAAGGACTTGAAATGCATTGGCTTGGTTGATCTCTAGAAAAGTTGTACTAACTTACACTCCTACCCCATTTCATTTTAAGAAACACTTTAAAACATTTCCTTAACATAGATCTGCTTATTCTGATTTGATGCTAATCTCGATTTATAATTTTTTTTTTTTTTTCTGAGACAGGGTCTCACTTTGTTCCCTGAGCTAGAGTGCAGTGGTGTCATCATAGCTCACTGCAACCTCAAACTCCTGGGCTCAAGCCATCCTCCTGCCTCAGCCTTCCTAGTAGCTGGGACTACAGGTGTGCGCCACCACACCCAGCTAATTTTTCTATTTTTTTGTATAGATGGGCGTCTCACTGTGTTGCCCAGGCTAATCTAGAACTCCTGGCCTCAGGTAATCCTCCCACCTTGGCCACTCAAAGTGCTAGGATTTACAGACATGAGCCACTGTGCCCAGATTTTAAGGATGTTGACTCAGTAACTGGTTAGGTTGTAGTATATATTCATATCATTAGCAAAAGTAAGAAAAATTTTAGATTTTACAATATAAAGATTAAGTATTTGTATTGTTTCCAGGAAAACATGGTGACTATATAGTCATAGGAGATATTCCTTTGGTAAAGACAGCGCCATAACCTTTCACAACACTGATTTGATTCTAGAAATATGGAGAAATATTAATTACCAAATACATATGAAGGTTAGAGTATGAACTACTTGAGATCAAAGTCTTTGTCTTAAAATTATATTTCTAGCATCTAGCATAGTACTTGGCTCAAAGTAAACACTGATAAGGTTAATGAATGATTTTTTTTTTACTACCTTGATCTCTATTATGATTATTAAAACACATAGTGTATGCTAGCCTTGTTTCAACAACTTATATGTTTGCCTCCTGAGGTATGTTTTGTCAATTGAGAGTGCTGAAGAGATACGAGAGTATGTTACTGATCTCCTTCAGGGAAATGAAGGCAAAAAAGGTCAATTCATAGAAGAGCTTATAACCAAATGGCAAAAGAATGATCAAGAGTTGATTTCTGATCCTTTGCAACAGTGCTCAAAAAAAGATGGTAAGTTAATGTAATTAACTAAAGGCTGAAATTCTGGTAAATGGGCAGGTTTAAAGGACTTGGTGTTTTTTTCACCAGCTTTTATTTCTTCATAGCAAACTTAAGCAGAATCATATATATACATATTTTTAGTCCTAGTCAATCTGTAATGAATATTGTTCTAGTTCAGACTTTTTCAGTTTAGAAAATATCACAAAAATACCTGTGTATAGATATAAATGTGGCTTCAGAATAATTTCAAAAAATTTAAACATGGATTAAAGAAACATTTTTCAGTTATGTGCACACCTGGATGAAAGTAAAATGTTGACTGACTATAGTATGAATAGCATTTTAAGTAACTAAACAGTATAAAAGATGAACACCAAATTAAATAATCTAAGTCATTATTATTATACAGTCTAAAATATCCCAGCTAGTTGTTTTGAGTTCTTTATCATTGACTATAATCTTGAAAATGATGGTTTAAATTTAATTCTGATTTGAGAGAAAGCAATAATTAAAAATCTGCCTGACTTGTTATTTTGACTCTAAATATTAAGCATCACCTTCCATTTATCAGCTATAGAAGTTCACTCTCCTGCTATTATCTGTGAATTTCTTTTTCTTTAAAGAAATTTTAGATGGACAGAGATCAGGAGACCAGCTAAAGCGTGGTAGGCGGAAAGGGAGAAACAGACAGGAAGTTTCTGCATTTGCTGAACCTGACACAACTGCAGAGGTCAAAACACCTTTTGATTTGGCCAAGGTGAGTGCTTATAGAATGAAGTTTTTTCTGACTATACAGAGAAGAAGAGGTGACTAATACATTTCAGGGAACAAAGTGTATAAAGTGGCCTCAAATGACAATTTTTCAACAAATGCACGAATTTTAGGGAGAGAAAGAGATAATGATGACAAATTCCTTCCTTTGAGGGCAGCCTGATTAAATATTATCAGGACATCTTTACTTAGAGATGAGATTACAACAGATAATTATAAGTTGAAAAATATTTAATGAAGTGCCCCAGGCTTCAGCATTTTTTGTGGGTTTATACTAAAGGAATGCACAACTCTAGCTGTTATTAAGGTTGTTCCTATTTTTAACCAGCTGCCTTTACCATCACCACCATTATCACCATCATTCAAGTTTTAGAGATACTTCATATTCTCTCTTTTGGCTCTTACAATAGCCCTTTGGGGTAAACAGAATGTTTATAATTAGGACAATTTGATGACCTAAATTTCTCAAAAGAAGGAAATAGTTAATTAAGCTAAGATGAAAGAGTAGTGCCTAAAAAATTTTTAGTGTGATCACTATGCAAAAAACAGAGGAAAGCGTTTACGAAATAACGTTAAGTTAAAGAAAAATATAAGGGAATTAAGCTTTTTATCAATAGGACTAAAATGAGCAAAGACTATCACAAGCAAAAGAAAAAACAAGCAATAAACGTAAAAAGATGTTTAGTCAGGCACCGTGGTGTGCACCCGTGTCTTTGCTATGTTGCCCAGGCTAGACTTGAACTCTTGGGCTAAAATGATCCTCCTGCCTCAGCCTCCCAACCTGGGAGTAGTCCCACACCTGAGACTACTACAGGTGTGCACCACCACACCTGACTAATTTTTTTTATTTTTAGTTGCCTGGCTAATGTTTTCTATTTTTTTTTTTTTTTTTTTTTTTTGAGACAGAGTCTTACTGTGTTGCCCGGGCTAGAGTGCCGTGGCGTCAGCCTAGCTCACAGCAACCTCAAACTCCTGGGCTCACGCGATCCTCCTGCCTCAGCCTCCCAAGTAGCTGGGACTACAGGCATGCGCCACCATGCCTGGCTAATTTTTTCTATATATTTTTAGTTGTCCAATTAATTTCTTTCTAATTTTAGTAGAGACGGGGTCTCACTCTTGCTCAGGCTGGTTTCGAACTCCTGAGCTCAAACAATCCGCCCGCCTCGGCCTCCCAGAGAGCTAGGATTACAGGCGTGAGCCACCACGCCCGGCCTAATGTTTTCTATTTTTAGTAAGGACAGGGTCTCGCTCTTGCTTGGGCTGGTGCCTGGGACATTTCCAATTTTAGCACTGAAAGTTCCTCATTCTGGGATCCCTTCCTAAGTCACAGGCAAACAGGATAGTCGATTACTAGTAATCAAATAAATATGCATTAAATCACCGAGATATTATCTATCAAATTGTCAAAGATTTTAAAAATAAAATACTCAGTGATGATGAAGTTATGTTAAAACAGGAACATCCTGAACACTACTGGTGGCCATGTAAATTGGTTTAAGCCTTCTGGGGGGCAAGTTTGGCAGCATGCATCAAGAACTGTGGAAATGTTCATATACTTTTAATATGACCTAAAAATCTAACTTAAGAAAGTAATCAGAGACACACAAAAAAATTATGTTCTGTACAATGTTATTTATAATATTGAAAATTTGAACTGACCTAATTGTTCAGCAATAAGAGAAAGATTAAGTTGATTATGGTTCCCTCATTTGATAGAATGCCCTGCAGCTAGTAGAATAGTTCTACAAAGTAATTTGGGGAAATGTTCGTGACAGAATATTGAGTAAAGAAAGTGTCAAAGATGCGTATGTCTGATCTTGTATGTTAGGCCAGGCATGCTGGCTCACGCCTGTAATCCTAGCACTCTGAGAGGCCGAGGTGGGAGGATAGCTTGAGCTCAGGAGTTCGAGACCAGCCCGAACAAGAGTGAGACCCCCATTTCTACTAAAAGTAGAAAATATTAGCTGGGTGTGGTGGTACATGCCTGTAGTCCCACCTACTCGGGAGGCTGAGGCAAGAGGATTTCTTGAGCCCAAGAATCTGAGGTTGTAGTAAGCTATGATGACGCCACTGCACTCTAACCTGGGGGAAAAGAGTGAGACCCTGTCTCAAAAAAAAAAAAAAAAGGCAATTTAATAGTTTTTTTTGAACCTTTGTAACCACTTCTAAGTTCAGTAAGTGTTAAGTTTATTTGCATTGTTATGCAACATATCTCCAGAAATTTTTCATCTTGCAAAACTGAAATTCTTTACCTATTAACAACTACCCATTTTTCCCTTCTCCCAACTCCTGGTAACTACCATTTTACTTTCTGTTTTTATGAATTTGCCTGCTTTAGATACTCTTGTGAGTGGAATCATACGCTATTTGTCTTTTTGTGACTGTCTCATTTCCCTTAGCATAGTATTTTTAAGGATCATTCATACTGTAGCATATGACACAATTTTGTCTCTTTTAAGGCTGTATAATATTCATTGTATGGATATACCACATTTTGTTTATCCATTTGTCCCTAGGTGGACATTCGGGTTGCTTCCCCCTCTTAGCTATAGTGAATAATGATGCTGTAAACATAGGTGTGCATATATCTCTTTGAGATCCTACTTTCAGTTCTTTTAGATATATACCCAGCAGTGGGATTATTGGGCCATATGGTAATTCATGAATAGCTGTATTAGGTGGAAAAAAACAGAAAAGAGTAATGAATAATATAACAAGCACTTAGGTGCTTACCACCCAGGACTAACAATTGACAATTTTTTTTTTATATTTGCTTCTGGTCTTTTTATTTTGAAACAAATAAATAAAACTTTTCAGATAAAGTAAAAATCCTCTGTGTTCCCTATAACTAGGGAACCAATTTTTCCCCTCAGGAGTTATGTGTAGAGACATTTTGGCTGTCACAACATTGGGGGGAAAGGGTGCTACTGCTATCTAGTGGGTAGAGGCCAGTGATATTGCTAAACATCCTACTATGTACAGGACAGCCTCCATAACAATAGTGTCAGTAGCACCAGGGTTGAGAAACTGCAGTACATAATCCCATTTTCCCCCATCTTACAGATGGCTATTATCGTGAATTTGGTATGAATCTAAATAGTCCATTTTTATATGTAGATATATAGGGGTCTATTAATATATAGTATAGTGTTTGGTTTTTTAAAAAATGTACATAAATGATATACTGTATTTTACAAAGCGCCCCCTTTTTTTTTGGAGTCAGGGTCTCACCCTGTTCCCCTGTCTAGTGTGCAGTGGTGTCGTCATAGCTCACTGCAGTCTCAAACTCCTAGACTCAAGCGATCCTCCTGCCTCAGCCTCCTGAGTAGCTGGGACTACAGGAGCACACCACCAGGCCTGGCTAATTTTTCTAATTTTTATGGAGATGGGGGTCTTGCTTTTGCTCAGGCTGGTCTTGAACTCCTGGCCTCAAGTAATTCTCCTGCCTCAGCCTCTGAAAGTACTAGAATTACAGGTGTAAGCCACCATGCCTCGCCTTTTACAAACCTTTTGAGAGCTGTCAGAGCTAGTAGATGTGGTTTGGTTTTCTTAACTCCTCTATAATATCCTGTTGATTTACTTTCTCCATTAATCCATAAGAACACATTTATGTTTGTAATATTTTGCTTTTGTGAATAGTATTGCAGTGAATATTCTTATACATATTCCCTTTGTGTACATTTGAGAGTTTCTCTAGAGTATATTTCTTTGTTACTAAAATTGCTGGCTTATACACTTTGTTAATTTTTCCTTTATTGAAACTACCAAATTAGTCTGTATAGTGGTTCTACTAGTTTTCCTATCATCAAGGTAAGAGATTTCTCTTTTCTCCTTCTTTTCCAATACATAGTATTGTCAAGGTTTTAAAGTTTTGCCCATTTTAAGGATGAGAAATGGTATCTCATTTAACATTGCATACCCAGGAATTCTAAAGAGAGGCTGAGTGTCATTTTGGAGGGTTTTATTGTTTTTGTTTTGGCCTGCTGGGTTTACTCTTTTGTGAACCCATATCCCGTGAACTTCATGTCTTTGGTCTGTTTTCTACTGAGTTGATGGTCTTTTTCAAATTGATTTATAGTAGTTCTTTATGTATTACTTCTTTGTTGCAGATATCTATTAGTCTGTGGTGTGTCCCTTGTTTTTGATATCTTTTGAGGACAGGAATTTTAGATTCTGATGTGATCAAATACACTGATTTTTTTCCCTTATGTTTTATTCTTTTTATGGCTTATTTAAGCCTTAAGACATTTTTTGAGCCTTAAAGTAAAAAAGATATTCCCCTAAATTTTCTTTTAATAGTTTAACAGTTAGGATTTTCACACTTAAGTTTATATTCCATTTAAAAATTATTTTGAAGGCCTGGCGCGGTGGCTCACGCCTGTAATCCTAGCTCTCTGGGAGGCCGAGGCGGGCGGATTGTTTGAGCTCAGGAGTTCGAAACCAGCC